GTGTGTGAGTGTGTGTGTGTGTGTGTGTGTGTGTGTGTGTGTGTGTGTGTGTGTGTAGGTCAGAGGACAATTTTCAGGGAATCAGTTCTCTCTGGTTACCATTTGGGTCCATTAGCCTTGGTGACAAGCTTGTTACCCACTAAGCCCTCTAGTTGGCCCATATACACCCCCCCCCCTGTTTTTTATAGACAAGTTTTTGGACTCCTCATCCTCTTGCCTGCTGGGATTACAAGTGTGCAGCACCACACCTGGCTTTATTTGCTGACAGGATTGGACTAAGGGCTTCAGGCATGCTAGGCAGGTGCTTTACCACTGTATATGCCTAGCCTTCTGTACTAGTTTGGATTGTAAAATTCTCAGTAAAATTACTTGCTTTTGTCTGTCTTCCCATTGGACCAAGAGCTGCTCAGTATCTGTATCTATATCTTGTCTTACAGGTATTTGAGACAGAAAATAATGCCTTGGGTTATCTAAAACAACCTTGGCTACAAGATGGAGCAGTTGTGGGTGGTTTACACCATGCCATTGATAGTGTTTTAAGTCAACTTCTTTCCTTTTGTTTTTGCTGTGTCTGACTTAGAAAATAATAGTCCTCCCAGAGCCCAGGCTGGTGGCAGACATGTTCTTATACTTCCCAATAATTCCATTACTTTGGATGGTTCAAGGTCTACTGATGACCAAGGGATTGTGTCCTATCTGTGGATCCGGGATGGGCAGAGTCCAGCTGCTGGCGTGAGTACTGGAAGGGGGCTACCCCTCAGTCATGTACACTGCATCCAGATGAGTCAGTGTGGTCTGCTGTGACAAAAGACAGGGTGGCCTAAACTACAGAACAGTTTTTCCTCATAACTCTAGAGGCTGGAAAACCAGGACCAGGGTGCCAATCTGTTTACCTTTGGTGAGGGATCTCTTTCTGTATCCTGGGTAGCCAACTACTTGCTATGTCTTCATGTGGCAGTGTGAGAAAGGAGGAAAGAGGTGGGGGAACTGCTCTCATGTTTCTTTTATAAGCACACCAATCCTGGGGGTGAGGCCCCACCCCTATAACCTCATTCAACTCTAATTACCTCCTTCTAAATTCTAACTTAGAACTTAGTTGCAGACTAGGACTTGAACATGTGACTTCTCTCTTACCATGCCATCTCCCTGGTTAGATTCACGGGCCTCTGGGTTTGAATATTCTGAGAGCTGGAGACACTAGGCTGTCATTAGGTTTAAGCAAAGTCCTTTTCCTGATCTGATTTTAGGATAGCAAACCACGCAGGTGTGTCCCACCCATGGTGCTCAGGCTCTTGTGTCCTAGAACAGCTGTGGATTGAGCCCAATACATTTGTAGATGACAACATCATGTTACAGTATCAGAAGATTGGGTATCATGAGGGACATGGAAGCCAAGCTTTCCAGTGGGGCCCTTCTCCTCCTCAGCTTCCTATTTGAGCTTTCTTCCTCCATGTATCAGGTATATCAGATGCATGGGGATTTCCATTTTGCACTTCACAGGGGCAGAGAGTAAAATATAGAGATGGAACATGACTTGGCCAAGGCCAAAGAACTCAGTCTCACACCAAACAGACCCAGATTTTTAGCCATTGGAAGCCGTCGGATCACTTTGCCGCTTAGACTGTAAATTTCTGTACATCTCCCTTTTCTCCATTGCTAAGGACTTGAGATCTACAGAAGCACTCTTGTGGATATACAAAGGTGCGGTCACAGGGAAGGAACTGAAAATGCCTTGTACATTCTAATGTACTTCTAGAATGAATTCTATCTAGCTAGATAGTAGATTAGCTTCTAAATGCATTTCAGTGTTTTTCAGTTCAGATTCCTAATTTTTCATTGCCATCCATTCTGGTAAAAAAGTACAGACAAAAGATTCCAGAAGATTTCTTCCCCACTCTTTGGAGCTATGGGCCTGTAGAATGAGTCATCTGTTTACCAAGGCTCTGGGGTCACTTGAGAAGGTGGATATGATATGCTGTGAGGGGACATGCGGTGAGAGCATTATAAAACTATATTAAACAATAAGACCATAAAACTCCATGCTTTGTCCTGGAGCTTTCAACCTAAGCTCTCGCCCTCTGTTAATTAATCATTTGGCCTGGAAAGTTGTTTACCTCATCTTGTTTGGTCCTTGTCCCCACTGGAGTTCCACATAAAGAGGAGCTGAAGATTCAAAACCTTCCTCCTTCCCCTCCCCCCCCACCCCACTCCTCCTTCCCGCTCCCCCAGCCATATAAGTCCTACACACCTGAAAACAAGAACTCAGAGCTCTGAGCTCTGAAGAGGTTCAGAGACTGGGTACAAGCCTGACAGCTGTCCTGTGGTTCCCTCCTCAGGATGTCATCGGAGGCTCTGACAGCAGGGTGGCTCTGCAGCTCGCCAATCTGGTGGAAGGAATCTACACTTTTCACCTGCTGGTCACTGACAGTCAGGGGGCCTCGGACTCGGACACAGCCACGGTGGAGGTGCTACCAGGTGTGTACGGAGCCCAGGTCACCGGGGCGGGAGGTCCTCTGTGTCTAGCTTCTGCCCTTGGCGGGTCCCACCCTCTGGCAGGAAGATTTTGCTTTCCTGATTTAACATGAAGTAAACGTGGTCAGGCTGAGGGAGGGCAGCCTTGGTGAGCTGGGCATAGTGATGCTGCTGAGTGTAAACTGGACTGGGTAGTGCCCCTGAGCAGGAAGTGTGCAAGGTGCCAGAGTTTCCATGTAGCCCACGGGTATAGTTGATTATCTTTTGAGAGAAAAACTACTAGATAACGAGGTGGAATAAAATTGGAAAAATACTCCAGAGTGGTTTCTGCAGTGGTCACCCTCCTTACCCCCCCCATCTCTCTCTCTCTCTATATGCCTAGCCTTCTGTACTAGTTTGGATTGT